CCGCTGATAAGCTCGGTGGAAACACAAGTCTGTAAGACACCTCTCCCACTCAATCAAAAATCTCAAAAGGCCCGATGAACCTAGGGCTTAACTTGCCCTTCTTCCCAAACCGCATCACACCCTTCATGGGTGACACCCGAAGCAACACTCTCTCTCCGACCATGAATGCCACATCACGAACCTTACGTTCGGCATAGCTCTTTTGCCTGGACTGAGATGTACAAAGTCTATCCTTAATGATCTTAACCTTATCCAAGGCATCCTATACCAAATCCGTACCCAATAACCGAGCCTCTCCCAGCTCAAGCCATCCAACCGGAGACCGACACCGCCTACAATATAATGCCTTATAGGGAGCCATCTGGATGCTCGACTGATAGCTGTTGTTGTAGGCGAATTCCACTAACGGCAAGAACTGATCCCAAGAACCTCCAAAGTCAACAACACAGGCGCGGAGCATATCCTCCAAAATCTGAATAGTACGTTCAGACTGTCCGTCTGTCTGAGGATGAAATAATGTGCTTAGATTGACCCGCGTACCCAACTCACGCTCTACTGCCCTCCAGAAATGCGAAGTAAACTGCGTTCCTCGATCAGAAATGATAGACACGGGCACACCATGGAGAAGAACGATCTCACGGATATAGATCTCCGCCAATCGCTCCGAAGAATAGGAAACTGCCAGAAGAATGAAATGTGCTGACTTAGTCAGCCTATCCACAATAACCCATACTATGTCGAACTTCCTCCGAGTTCGTGGGAGTCCAACAACGAAGTCCATAGTGATAAGCTCCCACTTCCTCTCAGGAATCTCAATCTTCTAAAGCAAACCACCAGGTCTCTGATGCTCGTACTTTACTTGCTGACAATTCAAACACCGAGCTACATATCCGACAATATCCTTCTTTATCCTCCTCTGCCAATAGTGTTGCCGCAAGTCCTGATACATCTTAGCGATTCCCGGATGAATAGAATACCGAGAACTGTGGGCCTCTTCTAGAATCAACTCGCGAATCCCATCCATATTAACACAAACACGACCCTGCATCCTCAAAACTCCATCATCTCAAACTGTAATCTACTAGGCATCTCCGTGTCGCACTGTGTCCCTAAGGACAAGCAAATGAGGATCATCATACCGTCGCTCCCTGATATGCTCAAACAAGGAAGACCAAGCGACTATAGAAGCTAGAACACGGCTGGGCTCAGAAACATCCAACCTCACGAACTGATTGTCCAAAGCCTGAACATATAATGCAAGCGGTCTCTCACCGACTGGAATATACGCAAGGCTGCCCATACTAGCTGACTTCCTACTCAAAGTATCGGCCACCACATTGGCCTTCTCGGGATGATACAAGATGGTGATATAATAGTCTTTCAATAGCTCCAACCACCTCCTCTGCCTCAAATTTAGCTCCTTTTGCTTGAACAAATACTACAAATGCTTATGATCCGTGAACACCTCACACGGCACGCCATATAGATAGTGCCTCCAAATCTTCAGTACGTGAACAATGGCTGCTAACTCCAGGTCATGAGATGGATAATTCTTCTTATGAATCTTTAACTGTCGCGGAGCATATCTAGTAACCTTGTCGCCCTGCATCAATACCGCACCAAGTCTAATACGTGATGCGTCACAATATACTGTATAGGGCCCTGAACCCATGGGCAATACCAACATCGGTGGCGTAGTCAAAGCTGTCTTGAGCTTCTGAAAGCTCGCCTCACACTCGTCCGACCACCTGAATGGGGCACCCTTCTGGGACAATCTAGTCATCGGGGCTGCTATAGATGAAAACCCCTCCACAAACCGACGGTAATAACCCGCCAAGCCCAAGAAACTCTGAATATCTGTAGCTGATGCGGGCCTAGGCCAGTCCTTGATTGCCTCAATCTTCTTAGGATCCACCTGAATACCCTTTGCCAATACAACGTGACCCAAGAATGCCACTGAACTCAACCAAACCTCACATTTCGAAAACTTAGCATATAACTGACTATCTCTCAGAGTCTGAAGAACGATCCGAAGATGTTGCTCATGCTCCTCTCGACTGCGGGAGTAGATCAAGATATTATTAATAAAAACGATCACGAAGGAATCCAAATAGCGCTTGAATACTCGGTTTATCATATCCATAAATGCTGCTGGGACATAGACTGAGATGAGTATTCATAATAAGTTGATTTGTCATAACTGAATCTCATAGAATATCGAATGATTATGAAACTATGCCATCTAGAGAATAGAAGTTCTACTACTATTCAGGGAACTAAGGCATAGTTACTTTCTAAAGAAACTAGTAATAGTCGTAATGAATGGGACGTAGGGAGAATCATAGAATTCCCAAACGTAAAGAGTTAGCCTCACATACCTTAACTTCCTGCTCTTGAGCGTAATACAACATTTTTCAACCCTTTCAACTATAATCTATAGCAATACAAGTCAAAGGGATTCCATATCAGCTAAGATGCTCATGTTTTGGTCACTTAAGCATCGTATCAAACACTTGGTGAAAATAAAGCTTCATAGTCGTCATTAATGGTGTCTCTACAACCAATAACCCATTCTCTTGTTCCTAGATAAATTCTAAAGTCTCAAATGGTTATAATATACATTATTCTTTATCGCCCATAAGGTAAACAACACCCTTAACCAATAATCAACAATCAACACCCCAAACCTATAATCGTTCATGCTTTTCTATCAAACCCATCAACTCATATCTCATGAACTAGGGTTTATAATCATTAAACCAATACTAGAATCAATTAGAGGGTGAAGACATTACCTTTTTGAATTCGAGTTCTAGGCTTCCTTCTCTCAACAATGATGTCCCAATCGAATATCTAATGATATGGAGGGTTTACCCATGTTAATAAGATGTTGGGAAATTGAAATTAACTTAGAATCACCATTAGAACTTACCTTGAGTGGTGGAGGGACCCTTAAGGAGTTAGGTTTTTGAGAGTTCCCCTTTCTAGAGCAAGTTTTTATGCTTTGGGGTTGTGGGGGATGAAGTATGGCTTTAAAATGACCCCCCATGAGTGCGCCTGTGCACCTGTAGGCCTGACTGCGCTACTGACCATGCAAAATGTCAGTAAACCTGCCTCAAAAGAAGTGCGGCTGCGCATATTGCACACTGTTCTGTAAAATGTGCATAACCTTTAGCAAAGAGATCTGTTTGGGCTCCATAATATGTCGTTGGAAAGCTATTTCAAAGGCCTACAACTTTCGTGCTTTCAGGTTTCCCAAATTCCTTACACATTTTCACCAAACCCTACTGGAAGACAGACCTTCTGCAAACTTAGTCGATTTTATCAAATCTTATGCACCACACATTGCATCTTGATTTTGAAACAACTATTTTCACCTATAATCATCCCGATGGGACTTCACATGTCCAAAATATAACCTTACTACTCCTTTAACTCATTCATACCTAAGCCGAATTTACAGGGTGTTACAGTTTAATCATGTAATTGGTGAAGATTAGGGGTAAAAATGAGGGATTAGGGCTTGGGATTTTAGAGAGTTTGATTTGAGGATTTGAGGGGACAAATGGAGTTGAATTTTGATGAATTTCGTATGTATGGAATCTTGAGTGAAAGGGCTTTCTAGTTTTGTAATTTTTGTTGGAATTCGAGACGTGGGCCCGCGGGTCGGGTTTGGGTGAATTTCGGGATTTTGGTCTAAGTTGACAGTTTTTCGTGTAGAATTGGTTCCTTGGCCTATATTGAGTGCATTGTATTGCTTTTGGTTAGATTCGGGACGTTTGGAGGCCTATTTCAGAGGCAAGGGAATCGCGGAGTAGGATTTTGACTTGGTTTGAGGTAAGTAACGCTTCCAAACTTGGTTTTGAGGGTTCAAAACCCCGAACTATGTGCTATATGATTAGTATTGCGGTGACGCACATGCCAAGTGATGGGCGTGCACCGTGAGAATTGTGGCATGGTTCATTCTATGGCACCGCTTATTGTCTCTTTCTTGCTGATATCCATGTCTCTATTATGCGATTAAGTAAATGAGTTGTAAATCATGCTAGATATCATGTTAGGGCTTCACGCCGATACTGTTGAGACCCGAGTGGTCGTTTCTTGCTGTCATCTCATTAGTTTCATTAATATTCTGTACTCAGTCTTATTCATGCATATCATATCATGTCTCAGTCTCAGTTTTTATTATTTGGCACATCATATCATTGTTTCGGGCTAGTTTCATGGCATTGTGAGCCCGTGTGTGTGAGACTGGAGATTGATGACTGAGTGAGGCCGAGAGCCTGATTATGAGTGATAGTTATGGGATTGGGCTGCACGCCACAGTGGTTATGTTGATGATTATGGTAGCGCTTGGGCTGTAGGAGCCCCTCCGAAGTCTGTAACACACCCCCAGTGAGCGTAGATGATATTATTGAGGGATGGATTTCCCTGGACAAGGATTTGTCCGAAGTATTGATATTTGGAGATGTATTTTTCCACAAGGTTGGTTTGCCCTTATCCTCGGTGCCGAGTGACTTATAGTCGGCGATGAGTATGCTCCGACATGGATTTCCTTATGCCGGATGGCCATATGCGGTACCGAGTGGTTGAGTATATATATATATATATATGGATTACCCTTCTTCCTCGGTACTGGATGACTTGCAGTCAGTGTTGTATATGTTTCGGGATGGATTTCCCTGGGCCGGACGGCCATATGCCGTACCGAGTAGATGTGCACTTGAGAATGGGAGCATATGGTGCATTTCGTACATTCTTTGCATTGCCATGTAGAGTTAGATGAGCTTTATATCTCAGATCGTTCAGATTCCGTATTTATTTTACTGCTTGAGCTGTATACTTGAACTGATAGCATGCCTACTTTTCCTGCACAGTTTATTTTTATTACTTGTTGAGGTTACGTTCGTCACTACCTATTAGTCCATAGTTTGGACTTGTACTGAGTTGGTGTACTCACGTTACCCCCTGCACCTTGTGTGCAGATCTAGGTATATCTGGCCACGGTAGCGGCTGTTGACTATTCCAGTTGCTGACTTTCATCGGAGATAGCAAGGTGGCTGCCTGGCGATCGCAGTCCTGCTTTTGTCCTTCTTTATCTTTCCTTTACTGTATTTTGGTAATTCTCAGACTAGTTAGTCTTGCAATATTTCAAAACAGTTTTAGTAGTTGCTCATGACTTAGTGACACCTCGATGTCGGGCTATTTCATTTCTGCATTTTGTTTACAAGTTGAACTCTTTTATGAAATTTCAGTATGAAAAAGGCTTTTATCTATCTTTTAACGAAATATTGATTGTTTGGGAGTGTGTCGGCTTGCCTAGTTCCATGATAGGCACCATCACGACCCAGTTTAGTCGTAGGGTCGTGACAATGAACTATCTTCGACAGAAGTTAATTCTCACCCTCAAAAACTAACTGCTCCTTCAATTGCTAATCCTCCTTCAGCTTCTGATGTAGGTTAGAAAAGTATATTATTATCTTTTTAATCTCACATCTTTGTATAAAGAAATACTTCTATATAGATATAATGTTTTATGTGTATATATAGGTATACATTGATGCATAAATTGATCTACAATCAATTAAGTTATTTTTTCTTTCATTTACAAGGTCATGCTTCTACAGCTACAAACATACATATCATTATCGAGAAATAATATGATTGATTACTTCTCCATCTTTGAAGTAGGTGAGTCAATTGGAAGGAATGTCATGGTGCCGGAAATCGCGCAATTTCTGCTCCAATAGCATATATTGAAGTTGTTGCAAAGAAGAAAAAGATGTAGGTGAGTCCAAAAATAATACTTAAAATATCCCTTCTATACTAATAAGATTACTATCTTTTTCTCGAGAAAAAATGGCATAATGATTGTTAGTTGTATTTGTATGTATGTGCTTACTCAACTGCTTATTATATTATGCCTCTATCAACACATGTATATTGTTGATCGTCTAGAGTAGGGGTGTTCATAAAAATTCAAAAAACCGAATCAAACTGAAAACCAAATCAAACCGATCAAAAAAATCGATACTTTTTGGTTTGGTTTGATTTTGGTTTTGAATTTTAAAAAATCGATCAAATTTGGTTTAGTTTTGGTTTTAATCAGAAAAAATCGAAAAAAAACCGAACCAAATCGACTATAGGTGTAGCTATTTCAAATTTATAATTACATCTATATATATGTATATTTTTATATAAAGTTTCAAAAATTTAATGGTAAATGTTAACAGTTTGCACTTTTGTATAGTTTTTTACCTTTACATTCTAGTTTGATTGGTAGTTTTTTTTTTTGTTAAGTGTAAGAATCCATTTCGTATTAAAAATAATATATTTTTAAATGAGTCCTTAAATTATTCATCACTATTTGATTCAATTATCATCAATATATCTTAGTAAATAATAGATTTCTCAAAGGGCAATTGATTTAATAGTGTTACGTTGAAAATGTGGTCTCCGGAATATGTGTTTGTTAGTGTATGTCTTATATTTAAGAAAGAACCGACAAATAACCGAAAAACCGAAAAATCGACAAAACTCGACATAAACCGAATCGAGAAAAAACCGACTTAATTGGTTTGGTTTGGTTCTAATATTTGAAAAACCGACTTACTTGGTTTAGTTTCTTTTTAGGGAAAAACCGATCCAAACCGAACCATGAGCACCCCAAATCTAGAGACTGTAATCGAATCGAACCCCTGTACATAAGTTACTAATATGCTTTTTCTGTCAATAGCTGATGACTGGCACTAGGGTCCATATGTCTAAAACCTTTACATAACATATGGATATGGAAAGTGTGAGATTGGCCATCTGTTTATTGCTGCCTTTGGATCTTTCATGTTGTTTGGGACAATTGTAATATCCTCGGCAGACAAACATGTTAGAACATGCACGGCGGAAGCAAGCATATAACCAGGCATCAAATACATGTAAACTAGACAACACAATGATAACGAGATTAGAAGCACTAACCTCTTGAAGTAGTTGCACAAACCTTCCAAGCAGCAAGAATCCAGGGCTGCAGTCTTCTGCTATTTGCCTAGTGAAACCTTGGGCAATTTTGCTTTTGGGTGGGCAAGAACAATACAACTCTAGGGTAATTAATTAGGTGAAACCAGTCTACCTTTTATAGATGCGAAATTAATGCCCTAAATAGAGCTTAAAATCGTGTAGGATTCTACAAGTAGAATCCTACTCCAACTCAAAAAGGTAACTTTTCTCCCAAGCTACTTTTTACCCAAGTTTGTCCAGGTTTTTACTAGGTATAGCAGAGACCACAGAAATAATAAGAGGCTACTAATTATAGTATTAATTCTAAATCAGCATGAATTAATTCTTACTATAATTAATTGCAATTTATTCCACTAAAAAACTGCAATTGAACTCCTCAATATGAATTTCGAAATTCATCAACACTTATTTTAACTCGCCATGTTAAGATTTCAAATACCAATTAATTAAATTAAATCACTGAAAATTTAATTCAATTAACTAATTAAGTCCTTTATAATTTCGCTTAAACCATTTCATGTGACGGATACAAAATCCACCGGCCGCGTTTTCACATGAAAACTTATAAGCTTATATAAAGGGGTATATAAAACCCAAAACCGAGTCATGGATTCTATCAACCAATTATTATTCACAAATGTTATTCGTTATTGTCCAATTTATTAGGCATATACTAACTCTAAATAGAGTCGTACCTTTTGATAAATCAAAACAATAAACAAATTACATTGATCATAACAATTATATCAAGATTAGGAGTATAAGCTCATTTAATGAATTAGAAAAAATGTTTATATATTCAGTACAAAAATATCTTTTCTCTATTTGGTCCGTTCAATATACACTGAGTATACTAGCACAAGAAATTGGAGTAAAACTACTCCCATAATCAAGACAAATTATACAATAATCTTGTGCTATAATAATCAAGATATTTTGTCCAACAATATCTTCGATTGTGAACATAGTTTATTAATTATGAGAACCAACAATTTAATCTTCTGTGCATGAGCTAAAACTCCATACACTAAATTGTCTACTACATAACTAAAAGGACACACATGTAGCAAATGATCTATTTAAAATAGTACTTTATTGAATTGAATAAATTAAATAAATAATTGTTCCATAAAGAATAAAATATAATACTATGTCTAAATTGCATGGTTAATAGTATATCCCAACAAAACAGTATGTCCATTGTATTTTGTAGTTGATGAATGCTCTTGTTTTTTGCTTTTGTTTACATTCACAATCAAAAAGGGGTGGATATAGGGCTTTTGTTACGTACTGCAACACTTAGATTTTGAGTTGTATCACTAAACTTTCTCAGTACAAAATTTTGATGTTGGGCCGTATATTTGAAGGAATTGCCACCTCTCTCATATTCTCAGCCTTTGAGTCTTGGCTTGTCGCAAAGTATAATATGGTGCTTAAGTTTTTCAATTGTGACATGTCTTGGTGTTTTGTTAAGATCCCTGCCAACGATGTAGACAAATTCCTGTACCAATACCTGTCTATATCAGAAGAAACATCACTACCTGAAAGATTTCAATAGCTTTAAACCAGAGTTCCAAAAAAGAGAAAATGGTAAATTGTTCTCACTTATATTTTACATCTTGTGATGACTATGTATTATTTGCAATAAGTTGATTTGTTTCATGTGTTACATTGGTACTGTATTCTCAATAGCTATAAAGAAGGGCTAACTGGCTTTCAAAAGAAAGACTTTTTCGCAACAAACCCTGTAGAAGCCTCAAATTTGAATGTCATGCATACCTCTTGGGGTATTGTCTGTCTTCACATTGAATATAAGGTTACTTTGGAGAAAAAAAAGGTTAACTAATTCTAAAGATCTAAAGACTGAAAATATCTTATAAGTGTTGGGTTTTTGGATGTATTTAATTAATATATTAAATACTTAAAAGATGATGAATGGGAAATGGAGGGAAATGAAATTTTTGAGTGAAATTTTAAGTTCCCCCTTGACAAATGGGCATTGTCCCATATTGGAAGAAGAAGATGTTTTTTATGGGTATATAAGCAATTGCTCTTCTTCTACCTCTTAAAGAGTTGAGAAGGAGGCAAGCCTCGCGCCGTCGTCATCGTCGCTCGGCTCGGCTTCGGTCATTTGACCGAATATTAATATTAAATCTAATCCGTTTTTCTGTTTTGGTAACAGAAAAATAATTACCCTCTTCAATTTTTCCTCTTTATTTTCCCTCTTTATTGTTGAGTAAATGGCCATTTATGTAATGGCATTTATGCTGTGGGCGTTTTGCATAAACAGCCATTCTGAAGAGTTGTACCTCTTCAGATTTCAGCCCAACTTTGGCTATAAATATAACACTATTCTGCTCAGAATTTCATTACGATTTTCTGAGTTTTCTCTCCTTCTTCTGCATACTTTTAGCATCAAACAAAGTAAAAAGTAAGTGTGATTTGCTACCGAACTTTGTGTTCGCTGAAACAATGGGGTTTGAAGTACCACTACACCAGTGTGTAATTCGTTCTATCCTGGGAGGAAATAATCCATAACCTTGGGTACTAGGAGGGGATTAAATTCCTTAAGGAAACACTGTGAATTCAGTGGGCTCGAATTGGTTTTATGTCATTTCTGTTTATGTTCATTTCTGTTTATATTCATTTATATTTCCAGAATTATTTTACAAATACAGTATATTAACAATAAGGACATGGTAATATGATAACATTTACTACTTTCTACGGGATGATCTCTTGGAAAATGGAAATGTTAGTAATCATGTTGGTGTTTGCATACCCTGTTCGATTCAACAATGTCGATTATTCTTGCCTAAACAAGAATACCTGCAACTTGATCACTAATAGTTTGGGACTACAACTGTAAAGTTCAATTGGACAACCTTGCAATAACAACCAACAATTTGAAAATGATGAAACAACCGGAGGTTTGTACCTGTTAGAAGGGCACAACTCTTTGTTCTTTTTTTTCACATATTAGGAAGAAAAAAAAACATATTACTATATTTATGTTGTACATAAAGTTCTTTTGATTATGATTATTTATTTGATCTAATATGGAGCACTGTGTCTACTAGCATAATCACAATTTAGAAACACGGGTATCACTTCTCTAGTATATATATATAATTTCTTTTTTTTCAGTTTACTATCTGTATAATGTATACTATATATACATTGTATATAGTATTACGTCCTCGTTCAAGCCTTAAGTGGACACACGGGTGTTCGAAAAGTTTTGAAGGCATGTAATACCTAAAGCCCATATTTGTAAGGTTATATAGACATCTATAAGGGAGGAGAAGTAGTTTAGAACAAATCAAAATATTTAAGAGAAGAAAGCGAACATACTCGCACTTAGATTGTCTAAACGTGTATATATATATATATATANAAGCACGAATAATTTAGGCTAAATGTTGAACGACTAAAATATCCTTGAAACATTGATCGACTTTTATAACCTTAATTATTTGTATAATTTAAGGATATAATTGTAAATTATCTGAGACTGGTTTTTCTTTCCATTTAAACTATGCATACATTAATGCTACATAGTTGACTTTGGGTCAAATTCTGGAAGCCTACTTTTTGGCCGTACTTTTTGGTCGATTTGGTTTCTACATAGCTCAACTTTTTTTTGGTAGCCTTTTCCTTTTTTTACAACAATATTTTTTTTTTATTTAATCTTCTCCCATAGAATTCAGCTTACTCACCAGCGTCATTGCCAACGTTTTTTTTTTGTAGCCTTTTCCTTTTTTGACAACAATATGTTTCCTTATTTAATCGTCTCCCATAGAATTCAGCTTAATTGCACGAATCCATGTAGGAAAAAAATAAGCCAATTATTCCTATAAAAGATGACATTGTTCCACATTGTTCATTGTTCTCTAAAGGTTTTGGTGTAGAACGAAGTAATTTTCTCCAAAGGTATTATTAGTTCTCTCTATTGTTCCCGTTTTCATAATTGAGTAAGTTCCCGTTTTTCGTAATTGAGTAATGCTTTAGGGTCATGTATATGAATTAGAGAGAAAAACAATGACATCTTAACTTTTATTGTAATTGTTTTTTGAGTCGTACTTCTTTATTTTTCGGCGTAGTTTTTCGTTTTACATATCAAAGTCTTTTACATTGAAGTAGTATTATGTTTAAATTGTATATCTTTAGAGATTAATGGTTTGTGTTATTTCAACTAATGTTAGTGTAAAAATATTAATTTTCAGCTATTACATAATATTTTGCAGCTTTTACTTATATATTGCAGGTATTTGGCGCAGTGTAATGGAATCGGATTTGGAAAAGTAATGTGTCCCAATAAATAACCTTAAACTTTATGATGTTGAATGGGTAGTTAAGGTATTAGTTATTCGAAGAGGACCAATAATAAAATATAAGAACGACAAAGGAGAGGGTTTGTGTTGGCATTTAACATTTGTTGACGAAGAGGTAGGTTTTTATGTATATTTATTTTGATATAATTTATTACTTATTTATTTTATTTTTAATTAGTTTAAAATTATTTTATATTAATTTATAGGGGACAAAGATCCAGGCAGTACTATTCAATAAAAATGTTGAAGATTGGAAAAATTTATTTCAACATAATAAAAGCTATTACATTATAAATGGTCGCGTGAAGGCTGCTAATTCAACCTATTTATCTGTGCACAAGGAGTTGAAAATATCTTTTAGCAATTATACTACAGTTACGGAATGCACCAACCACTTTTCGACCACAAAATTTTTGAATAATTTTCTATCTTTAGAAGAGGCAACAAATGTCACCATCGGAACATTATTTCGTAATTTTCTTCTCGCTATCTTTTGATAATACATTGGATACAACTTTAAAAAGATCTTCATATACATACCGGCTAATTTTGAAGAAAAATGCACCTATAATGTTATGTAGAAACTTAAATCACTTAAATGAATTATGTAATAGTACAAGGATGATTCGTACAAGTTTTGACAATAAACATCATATTCTTATAATGCAACTTTCATCTCTAGAAAATGAAAGACGTCTTTTTAAATTTTTCGAGAATAGTTTTTAATACGCCTGTGTTTTACAATGACAATAAATTAATTACATGTCTAAACAATATCGCAATATGCATAGACAACTATATAATTTACTTTTAAGAGGGAGAAGCCAAAGCTATAGAAATAAATATACACCAAATTAAAAACGTCATATGTAAAGAGGTATGATACTACCACATTGCATATTTATATACTATAAATAAGATACTTTCTAATTTAAGTAAATTGATCATCTTTGTAGGTTATGACGATATCATTTTTAATTCAAGTATTCTGTGAATATAATACCATTAATTTCCAGATTTAAATGATGTTGTATTTTAATCACATTAATTACTTTACAATTATCATTTCCTTTTGTAAATAGTTTGTTAATAAATTTAGTTAGTTGTTCTTTCACATAAGAGTTCTGACTAAAGATTTACGTGCAACGCACGTACATATTGACTAGATTAAAAGCACGAAGATCCTTAGCGAAATTCGCCTTTTTTACCCTTTTAAATATAGAATTCACACTAGACAAAATTGTCATTTGAGTATATTTCCTAATATTTAGGAATTGTCATTTATGTAGAAATCCCTAATATTTAGGAATTTAATCTTTTCTTTATGTGAATTTCATTTATTTAAATCCTTTCTTATTTCAACTAGCTACGTACCACATCATAATAATTACTATAACTTTAACTTAAACTAGGATTCTTCAACAGTAGAGTTTACTTCTTGAAAGATTAGGTTCTCTTTTTTTTTTTTTTTTCCCTTTCGGTATTTACTTATTTTAGGAACACAAATTGCTTCCTTTTTGGGGAATGAATAGACTATGCCTCTCAATGATGAGTGATTATACACAAATTGGTTTAAAATTGAAATTTCCGTATGAAACAAACGAAGGATCGAACAAAGAACATAAACATCAAAAGTTCAAACGGAAAATATCACTTTTGATGACTCTTCGAGGAAGATTGTTGTTGGCCATATATAATTAAATTGAGGGTTTTTTAATTTTCATCCATTAAATTTTCTTTTCCGTTTTGGATCTTTGAGAACAAAGCATAATATGTTAGGTAAATTTCTTCTTTTTTATGTTCTATTTACCTTTTATTTCCGTTAATTATTTTAGTGTACCATTATTTCATATTGGTCAAAGTTGCACGTGTTTAATTATTGCTCAATGAGTAAAAGGTAGATAATTTAATATTATAATTTAATTATTTTTCTAATATTAAAAGCACGAATGCTCTTAGCCTTTTTTACCTTTTAAAAATAATAGCCATTTAATTATTTTTCTATTATTTAGTAATATTTATTGAATTATTTTCCTAATATTTAGGAATTCGAAATCGACTAAATTTTGTATATTAAATATTTCCTTATTAGCTATATAATTTAACAAATTTATTAAAAAAAGTTAGTAACAATTTTAATTGTTTAAGCCTTTTTGACATACTTTAGGTAAATATTTTGAGTATTTCAATGACTTAAGTTTAGAGGACTCTTTATAGTTTATATGGAGAAGAAAAAGATTGAAACTGAGGTATAGGTTACTACGATAATTAATTGTATAGGTATCAATTAATGAGTATACATTTATAGATTAAACACAAAGGTATCAATTAATGAGTATACTTTTACAGATTAAACACAAAGTCCTAAACATTTTAGGTTAAAATTTTGATAAGCTTTTCAACTCTTTTTTGGTCTATAAGTATTTTTTTTAAGTTGCTGAGTTGCATGATTGCGTTAAACCAGTCACTCTTTTGAAGGTTTTCCTCTCTGTTCATTATTTCAATTCGCCTTTATGCGTAGGTACTTTGTCAAAACTCAAATTTCTCCTTTTAATGTACATTTAGTTTGTTTCGATTTTTTTCTGGCTTTTTTGCGTTTGATATTAGAATTGTTGTTTGATAATTTATTGTGTCTTGAAAACAAACTAATTATGTTCTTTAGTGTCCAAACAGATATATTTTTTATCAAGTTGTGTTCACTGTATAGATAGATAGAATACCTTATTGTTTCTTTCTTTGGAATTTTATTTGAATCATCCGTATGAATTTTAAATTATTAATTCTATCTTTATGTGTGTTTTCGTGAAAGTGATAGGTTAAAAACTATTCTGGATAGCAAGAAGAATTATAGAGCAGTAAGTCTCTCTAACTGGTCTAATTTCTTTCATAATTTTTTTAATTTCAGTCTCTATTGTCATGATATATTATGTCATTTATCTACTAATTGATGATTATATTGGCATAAATATTAATTTCATAATTAGAATGTGCTTTGCCAAATTATCTAATTCGTAACATCAATAAGAGGTTTCGTATTACTTCAGTGTTGGAGCATGTTATGTCTCTCCTTAATCATCGGCATTCTTAAAGTGCTATTTAAGGAAGAAACGACCACAAGAATCTTAAAATTGTCACGACCCAAACCGGACCCGGTCGTGATGGCGCCTCTCGTGAAGACAAGGCCAGCCGACACCATTTCCCAAGTCAACCATTTTCCATTAAAAGTTGTTTTTATGCCATTTGTAAACCATTAATCTCATAATGAACATTTAAAAGCAAAATGCGGAATAATTGCACAAGCCCGACATCGGGGTGTCACTAGTCATGAGCATCTACCAAGGTCTGAATACAACAAAAACAGTAAAATGTACTAAGTACAGAAATGAAAATGAGAGGAAGGAAGTGGTGCTGCGAACATCGTACAGCCACCTTGCTAACTCTGATGGCTCCGCGTCTGAGCAACCAACAACCGCTACCGGGTTCCGAAATACCTGAATCTGCACACGAGGTGCAGGGAGTAATGTGAGTACTCTAACCCAGTAAGTAATAAGAGTAAATAAAGACTGAGCAGTAGGAAACAATGAATTCCACATTTATGTTGAACTCAATAAGCACACAGGCTGCTAAATCAGAATAAGAGTCAATCGCCTCTTTTAAAATTCAGCTTTTGGTAAAAATCATTTAAAATGCCTTCCGGCAGATTCAGTAGGGGTTCAATACCATTTTTAATAAAAGAGCTGAAAAACCATAATCGGCCCCTCAGGCGAAACATAGTTCGTAAACGGCCCCTCGGGCAAAACAGGAGTCATAAACACCTCCTAACAAGAAAATCTCAGTGGAAATAACAAAGGCCAAATTAGTGATTAAGTTCTGAACATCTCGTAAACCCCAGCTTGAATGAAAGTTGTTTAAAAACATTTATCTAACATTTTCGACAGAGGCTCAGTATAAAGATGAGTGAAAACAGTCATTAAATCAACATATTCGATAGAAACTCACTCTAAAGAGAAGTGAAAGTCAATAAGTTCATAATCAGGCCCCTCAGGCAAACATCACTCATGTGCATGTATATATCTATCGCCCCTCGGGCTAGCCTCTCAGTCACTGGTGACTCAACTCTTACCAATAGCGCTCACGCTCAGCACTCACACTCAATAGGTACCATATAGGGACCGCTGCGGCGTGCAGCCCGATCCATATATATAGTCGACTGCGCTCACTGGGGTGTGCAGACTCCGGAGGGGCTCCTACAGCCCAAGCGCTATATCGTTGCGGCGTGTAGCCCGATCCAACACATCGCTGCGGCATGCAGCCCGATCCATATAAGTATCGCTGCGGCGTGCAGCCCGATCCATAGATATATATGTATATATATTGCTGCGGCGTGCAGCCCGATCCATAGATATATAATCCTCACAGCCAGGCCCTCGGCCTCTCTCAGTCATTAACCTCACCATCAGACTCTCAGTCTATCCCAGTCATCAACCTCAATATCAGACCCTCGGTCTATCTCAGTCATCAACTCACGATCACTCGGACCATCAGTAAAACAGGGAGCTCAGCCCGAACAGTTTTCACATTTTTAAGAAATATAGTGATAAAACCAGATTTTTAAACAATAAACAGGTAAAACATGACTGAGGATATGCTATCAAACACATAGAGTGAGGACAAAATAGTAAAAATGCCCCTAAGGGTCTCAACAGGTCGGCACAAGGCCCCAAACATGGCATACGGCCCAAAATATAATATAAGTCTCTAGAACATGGAATATCATAAGATTTTCAAGACAAGTACGCGACTTATCAGTCGTACGGGACGGACCAAGTCATAATCCCCAACGGTGCACAACTCCACGCTCGTCATCTAGCGTGTGCGTCACCTCAAAGTAACACAACAATGTGTAATCCGGGGTTTCAAACCCTCAGGACAGTATTTACAATCATTACTTACCTCGATCCGGTCCAAACTCTAGCCCGCTGCCTTAGCCCACACGAATCGACTTCCGGATGCTCCAAATCTAGCCATAATCAGTACATAATCATTAAAATATGCAAGGGGAGCGAAGCCCACTCGAAAATATCCAATTTACATGAAAATCCCGAAGTTTGCTC